AAACATTGTTTGCTGGAGAAGATGACTGGAGACACGTTGAAGAAGATGATTGAAGTCTCTCTAGATATGTAAAGATCGTCGGAAATCGGTTAAACCCACACCAACCGGCCATAAGGGTAAGATATGGACAAAAAACAAGTTTAATGGACAAATTTAGACAAAAAAATCAGTAACTAAATGTATATAAAACAAAAAATACATGACCCTTTTAAATCATTATCCCAATAATAAAAGATTGTTAAGTAAATTGTGGTTCATAATAATTATCTTTTGCAAAGAATACATGTTAATCGAAACGTAACATTTGACAACTTATAACTTTTGTTTGCTAAACGTATTTGTAGGTCCATATTGAACGGTTACAATTTCATTCAACCATATGAACGGTTACAATTTCTTTATATATAAATAACAATTTAAAGTAGCCCTAAAGCGAACATAAACTATCATATTGGAGAAGATATTGAACGATATACTTCAGTTCAATATAATATAACTAGTTATACCCGTGGAAAGTTACAAAAATAATTAAAATTTTATGGTAAAATTCATAATTATTAATCAGTTATTTTCAATAAACAACCGACAAAGTCTTCTAAGTTGGATCATGGTGACAAACGTCACCCCATCATCTAGCTAACATATGATACAATTCTTAAAAGAAAATTCAGGAACTAATATATGATCCAATTTTAAGCCAAATTGTCAAGACTTGTGAGCTTTTTGGTAGCCTTTTAACCATTTAGTTAATAGGGCTTGAATCATTTATGACTTTTAATTCTGCCAAAGCGTTTTAGTGGTCTTTTAAATCACTAAGCACAAAGACAAGTTTGAATCATATCGACGACAACACTATTCGGGCATTGGATGGATGATGGTTGCCGTTCTACCAATGAGTTATAGTGAAGAAAATCATTATGGATTTCTTTTTGAGTTTACTTGATGTATTTTCCAAACAATTGTTAACTTTGTTTTTATTTAAAATTTTAACAATATGCTTGTTTTATGGTTAAACTTTAAAAGATTTTGCGTGTTGCCTTGACCATTTGGGACATTGTGTAACGACCGCAAGATATAACTAGATGATTAAAAAATAATAGAATAATTAATAGTCTCTGTGCTAATTAGACATTATCAAAGAAGGATTATTTAGGGAAAATAATATAAACGGAAGTTGTAGTAGTTGTTAAACCATGAGCGTGCATATAGAGAACATACCAAATCTAACTTCATCAGATGAAGTTATGAGTTTTCGAAGTTTCAGCGCAGCAGTATACGGCTCAGAACCAAAGTAGAGATCGATTGATTGTTAGAAAAAAAAAACAATCTAAACGAGAGTTTGTCCATATGGTTCCGTCGATATAAAGATTGTTGAGAACGGATATCATATGAGAAATTTATGAATTTTTAACGAACTTTAACAGTCTAAGTTTGTTAAAAACATATCTTTCAAAATAAATTCAAAATTAGTCGATAGAGTCTAAACGAAAGTTGTAGATCTTGTCAAGAGTTTTCCGGGGATATAAAGAACGTTGAAATTGGAGTTCGCATGATAAAAATACGATTTTATGAAGTTTTCTGAGAAGCTCCACACGCAGGTGGGCTGCACGGCACACACCTTCTAGAAGGTGGGGAGTAATCACAGACACTTTGTCAAGTGAGTGCATGGTCATTTTCATGAACATTATTTAATATAAGTATTAATTAAATATTGAATATCTGGTGGAGTCGTATGTGAATTATATGCTTATTGTCTGAATTATATGTTAGGATATATATTGTGCTATGTGCGAACCATATATGGTTCTATTTTATGTTATGATAAATAGATAATATTATATAATAATATTGAAAGTATAATTGTTGAGAAGATAAATGATTAATAGTACCTAATACTCTTTTGGAATCTATATACACTAAGATAGGTTAGTGTCGCCTAAGAATAAAGTCGGTATTAAAAGTTGTTTTAGGCGCAGTAATCTAGTCTAGGGATAAACTTAGACTCATGAAAGATACCTTAGCTCAATTAAGTTTGATATTAGGTAGTCTCATTAGGAGAATATGCATAAACTATGAAAGAAGGGTAAAGTTTTGTTCCATGACACTATCAGGTGTTGTTGTACGGTAGTTTTGTATGAGATGACCAAAAATAGTGGTTCCCAATCAGACAACTGTTAGCAGTATATCTGGTCACCCTAGAGTAGGTGACAACACTTGATCATTCTAGTGCGCTAATGGAGAGAAGTGCAGTTGATTTGAAAATTGTGAGGGTCTTATGTGCTAATAGGATTCCATTTAATGTTTTTCGGAATCCTCAATTTCGTGACATGGTAAACACATTAAGACTTGACACTATTTTACTAGATAAATGTGTCAGAGATGTTGAGAAAGACTTGACATTGTTTAAAGATACATGGTATTCACACGCTATTTCTATCGTATATGATGGGTGGTCAAACATAAAACATAAACCATTGTTCAATGTTCTTGCTATAAACAGCCGATGATCTATGTTTATGTATGCCACTAACTTTTCTGGAGTGGAGAAAATATGTAAAGCAATTGCTCAATTTCTAAGCCAAGCGATTGATTCTGTCGGCCTAAGCAATGTTCTTAGTGTTGTGACGGACAATGCCTCCAATTATAAAGCTATTAGAAAGGAAGTGGAAAAGGTGTACAAGCATATTTTTTGGTTGTCATATTGTGTTCATACCTTAAACCTGGTTTTAAAAGTTTTTACATGACACATATAAAAAGGGGAAAACGATTGTTAATATGTTTTGGATTTTGATACATGGTACCACAATATTTGGTATATTGTACCGGAGCGTCCTGAAGCATACCGAAATGAGCCTACCACCTCGTACCGAATTTCAGGGACCTAGCGAATTGCCTATCATGTACTAGTACCCATACTAAAGCATACCATAAATTATGTGACTATGAGAAAAACCTATAGGGAAAAAATATCATAAAAATGTTGTAAAAAATTATAAGAAGTCTTAAGAAATTTGTAAAAAAATAAAATTGGTCACATTTAGATAATTTTTTTTTGTACACATTTGACCATTTAAATTGTTAACTGTGTTAACATATTATCATTGTTACCTGGTATAGCAGGTGATAATGATAATATATGAATAAATTTAACAAGTTACATGGTTAAATATGTACAAAAAAAATTACGTAAACGTGAACAAGACGAAAAATAATTACCTTCTCAATTCATCTTCCCTCTAAAAAAACAAAATTTATTAAAAGTTATAATCTTTTTACGAATAAAGATTAGTTCCGATATATTTTGATATTATTTTAGATAAAATTGCAAGAATGGTCCCTATGGTATGTCAACACTAGCAATTTTGGTCCAAAATGGGTTTGACTCGCAAGGATGGTCCAATAGTTTCGTTTTGTTGCGAGTTTAGTCCAATTTCCTATGAATTTTTTTTAAAATGACGGATTTGCACTTATTATTTAAATTTCTATTTGTTTATAATTTATTTTTATTTTTCTAATTAAAATTTAAGCAAAATAAAAAAGAAAATGTAACCCCACTTTCTTTATTCCCTACAAGACTAGTCCGGTCATCACTGCTACCGGAAACCACCACCACCACCACTCCAGAAAACAAAATAATCATTTTTTTTCACATTTGCAATCTAAAACATGAACAATCAAATTTTATACAAACTCAATTTTTTTCCATATCACTCAAATTGGAACAAGAACACTCATGAACAAGAAATCTAAAAACATCCAGAAAACAAAAATGAAAACCAAATCGATTATCAATTTCTGAAAACAAAATCGATGGAGAAGAGGGTGGATGTTATTGGTATCTTGATCTGGAAAGTCATCGGTCGGACGTTGGAGTCACTGGAGCCGGAGTCGCCACCTCTCACCGGAATAGGTTTCCAACGTGGGTTACTGTCTGGGATCTTTGCAACCTCTGTCTTCATCTGTACAGAGGTGACGACGGCCATTTAACAAACCCTGAATCGTCACCAAGAAAAGCTCAAGATCTCCACCGCCGTGATCCTCCGATTCTTCAGATCTATCTTAGACTCAAACTCGAAACACCAAAAACCTCTTTGTCAGCTTCAGATCTTCACCTCTATGATCCTTCAATTTGAAAACCCTTCGATCTAAAAAACACTCCAATTTGAAAGCCTTCATCACGTTGAGCTCGTCATTGCTACCAGAGAAGAACTGATAGAAAAGAAGAACCGAGATTCGAAAGATTTAGAGTTCATGGCTGACGAGACCTAAACATCTAAGGGGTGGTGCCGACGGTGGTCTAATGAACCACAAATCTGTAAACAAAGAATTGGAGTTAGGGTTTCTCTTGTTGAAAAATTGAAGCGAGAGAGGAAGAAAGATGAACGGGTGGTGACTCCATCTAGACGGTGGCTACTGTGGCAGAGGGTAGCGGTCCGACGAGAAGATTCCAATTGATCTAATTTTTCCGGCAACTTATGTTATTGTAAAATGACAATGCGTTAGAGAGAGAAAGAGAAAAAGAGGAACGAGGGATGATGTGTGTATTTTTTATTTCTGATTCTTGCAATAAAAAGAATTAAGAAAATAAAACTAAAAAGGCAAATCTGTCATTATAAAAAGTTCATAGGAAATTGGACTAAACTCGCAACAAAACGAAACTATTAAACAATCCTTGTGAACCTAATCCATTTTGGACCAAAGTTACTAGTTTTGACATACCACAAGGACCATGCAATTTTGTCATTATTTTATAACAATAAAAAATTAAATTGAACTTAATTGCGAATAAACTTTATAAATATAGTTTGTTAATGAAGTTGATAAAATATGATTTCATTGGTTGTAAACTTGTAATATAAATGCCAAATCCCGAAGGATGGGGGACTGAAATAGCAAGAGAGTAAAAGTTTTCAGCATATACACAACGAAAAACAGAGAGGAAAAACCCTAAACCCTAAAATCAAGAGCCTGTCTACCGTCGTCTTCCTTCCTCTACTACAATGGCGGTCGATGATCGATCGGAAGCAATCGTGAAGACATTCGCCGTAAAACCAAAACTCAAACCCACTACAAACAAATCAACCCCAACACCGGAATCCAAATACTGGAAATCGTTCAAGCCAAAACAAACACAAACCCTAGTATCATCCATAACTTCACTTTCTTTTTCCCCAACAGCTCCACATGATATTGCCGCCACCCACTCTGCAACTGTCACTATCTTTTCATCGCAAACCCTAGAACCCAAATCAACTATCTCCTCCTTCAAAGACACCGCTACCTCCGCATGTTTTCGTTCTGATGGGCAACTGATTGCCGCTGGTTCATATTCTGGTCAGATCCAAGTGTTCGACCCTAAGAAACGATCTGCGCTCCGGCGCCTCC